AGAAAATGTCACAATTTCCAATCCAATCAATCATCCAGAGATGTCCTACGACATTACAGTCCCAGAAAATGTTAAATTAAAATCTTTGATATCTTTACCAAAAATATATAGTTCAGTTTCTTTTAAATTACACTTCAAATAAAGTGGATAACATGGTAGAGTCTTATGAACTTTCTTAAAAAAAGTATTTAAAAAATACGAAATCTGGTTATAATGAAAGTCATGTAGTAAATAGTATTCCAATCTTCAATCTGCATATTGAAATCTTTTTCCCATTCATTACGGGAAGATAAAGTTAATACGTTATTATCTTACAAAAATAAATTATAGAATAGAAATCTTTACATGATTTTGGTTTCTTTGTAACTTGATCTACCAACTTATTTTCAATATTGTCCAATCAACAACAACCTTCTATAAAACTTTTTCATTTATTTGAAATTGCGCTTATAATACCATAAGGCTCAACAAAATCAGCATTGTGATTATACGTTTTTTTAAAACTCCTTATGAGAAAATTGAAGTATCATCTGACACCAGATCACTAATAAAGAATACACAATTTTTAATATATGTGAATTTTGAAATCATCATGCCGTCTTTATTTTGATGTTTGGGTTTACCCAATTAAGGAATTGGTCTTCCAACCATGAAAGAAAAAAATAAAGGTAAATGCAAGAATTGTCTTTAAATCTGACTTCCCCGATGAAGAAAAATATGTAGCAGTACAAAAAATGCTTTGAATGTTTAAGTATATATTCAATTTAAATCTAGCAACAATTATCAAGTGATATCTTTTAGTCAAATATTGTCTATAAATTCGTATGAACATTGATAAATATTATAAATTGTGCACAATAAAGTTTCTAATGATTTAGAAATTGTATGTCATTAATTCTATACACGTCATTCAAAACAGACAAAAACCTTTTAAAGCAATTGTTCACCAAAAAAGTCAGATTGAATTTTATTATGTGAATTTCCATCATGTGATTATAGATTAATAAAACAATTTTCATGATGATGATACTGATGACGATGATTAAAATAAAAGGATGTTAAGTCTCAAGATGCAATTATCAAATGCTTTTCAGAATGATAGAATGTAATTGTGATTTGAATTTACTCCTGTTTTGATCTAAACCAATTAGCTTAACAGGACTTTTAACTTGCTCACAAGGTCATTACCAACATGAAGACTGTAAATTCACTTCCTGCGAATTATGTTGACTAACCTCAAGCTGACCAGTCCGATTCTAAAAAAAGATGCGGTTAGAGGAAACGCTACAAATAATAATTATAAAGTCTTTGGTTTCACCAGGCAGGGAATCGAAATTCAATCTCTCATACCAAGGCAATTCTGCTACCACGAGACCACTATTGTGGTAGTTGTTTGGTGATAAAACAGATGTAATTTATAGGAGTTTTGTCCATAAGCTTATATTTGATTTGGCAGAAAATTAAAATCATATTTTCAATTCGTGTACTATAAAAGTACTTTTATTCGTAGGGTACCAATATCCGGGGTCTTCGTTGATGGCTTTATCCTCGAATTTAAGTGTACAATGAAATATAAGAATTGTTGTCCAAATCAAAATGAAAGATGCCCATTACCGTAGGTTTGACTACATGGATATGGGCATATGATCTAGAGAATACATCGAATATTAGCAAGTGCACTTTAAACTATAGTTGTCAATATAATGGAATTTGATGTGACTGTCATACAAGAGAGAGATTTAGCTAGCTATAAAACCAGGTTCAATCCACCATTTTCTACATAAGAACATGCCTGTTCCAAGTCAGGAATATGACAGTTGTTATCCATTCGTTTGATGTGTTTGAGCTTTTGATTTTGCCATTTGATTATGACTTATATCTAGAAATTGACTATGAGGGTCGGTTGAAAACAAAACTTTACGACAAAAGAGATGATTTTAGCTTCCCAATTGTGTGAATTTTCATTTTTAAACCAAGAGTTCCAAATGGTGAAGTTGAAATCATCACTTTGTAAATATTACGGACGCCATCACGAGTTGGTTGACCGTTATGGAATATCCGTTTCACAGATGATATGTTCCTTATGTCGTAACTACAATCCAGTTTTCCCTTTTCACGAATGTGACCTACCGAATTAGACTATTTACCCCTATTTGTGACATTTTTAGCTATTGTTTTTGTTTGTTTTGTTCACACATCGTTGTCAATATAATGGAATTTGATGCGACTGTCATACAAGTGAGGGGTTTAGCTAGCTTTAAAACCAGGTTCAATTCACCATTTTCTACATAAGAAAATGCCTGTACCAAGTCAGGAATATGACAGTTGTTATCCATTCGTTTGATGTGTTTGAGCTTTTGATTTTGCCATTTGATTAGGGATTTTCCTTTATGAATTTTCCTCGGAGTTCAGTATTTTTGTGATTTTACATTTTTTCTATATATACAACTTCAGACAGAATTTTACCCATTTCATCTTTAAAATACCTCAACTTTACAATTTGTAATCTTTTAATTCTCATGTAAAATTAGTTTTAATCGATAACAGTCAGATCCGGTGATGATCTGCAATGATGAAGTACTAATTCTATCTCATAATAATTCTCATACGAAAAAAAAATATTTTCATATTGGGGTTGCTTTTTTTTTTATTTCACATATCAATTTATTCTACAATTCAAAGTAAATTTTTTAGCATTTTTTTTACGTAACCGTTTTCTTTAAGTGACATCTTTATGACCCAATTAACACCTTTGGTGATCGTTTATCTGTTGATCACTCGATCTCGGATTAATTAGGGTCATCACTTCTGATTACAAGTGTGCAACAATTAAAATAGTTACTTTGCAATTTCCCTCAATCGAAAAAAATCTGAAAGCATAGATGAATCAGCCTATTTCCAAAAGCAATTATGTTATTTAAAGTTTGATGATTGTTGTCAGTAATGAAAGACGAACACGTTAGGGAATATTAACACCTTAATTTTGTGTGTCCAGTAAAACACAATATATGATTATTTTCACGAGTATTCGTTTCAGATGGCTTCAATTTCTTTCAAAAAACTACAATTCACGAATTGTAGAACCCACGAACATGTTACCTTTGCACAAACCACGAACAATTGATACCCAAGAATAAAAGTACTTTCACGGTATAACAAAATAGCACAGGATCAATATACAATATCCAATTACAGGTCTTGTATGATATTACGGGTTTTATGAGTCTAAGGTTGACACATAATATAAACTCTGCAATTTCATTTTTGATTTCACCTTTCAACTGATTTTATTCAAATGCCACACTGTGTCTTTCGTCTGGCGTAACAACATTTACAAATCATGTCAATAGTTAGGCTACTATACATAATTAGCCCTATAACACCATTTATGAATTTTTTTGATAATGTAAATAACTAATACAGGTATAGTAGATGCCATTCTGTCGATGCTACTCAACGACGCACAGTTGCTTCGTATTTGCAACAGCTTGACCAAGGATGAAGTACGTAAAATGGCATTCCACCTAGGAGTCTCAAATACTAAACTTGATGACATTGGTTCTGATTCTATTCCTATGAATAAATTTTACAGCCTTCGTATATGCAGAGAAAAAAACAAATCTTGTAAAGATTTCGTCAATGTAATGGAGACTGCTAAAATCAACAAGCATACAATGTGTCAGGTAATTAGTTGAAATTGTAAATAAATCTTTAAGGGCATATGATACAGTTACAGGGGAAGTAATTACGTTGCTAACGCGTACAATATTATTTGTTGCAATGTTAAACTGTGACATATTAGGAAAAGATTTTATTTGACTGATTTTAATCATTAGCTTAAAAAACGTGTTCATTGGCCCCTCTGTTTTAAATTCACTTTTGTTTTTTTGTTTTTAGTTTTTTTTATGAAAACATCACGGATTAATTTCTAAAAAATTAGATAAATATACAACAAAATTGCCGGTTTTTCCCTTCTAAATCAAGAAATGTTACCAATTTTTAAAGCATGATAATTTTAAGAAGATATTCCAAAATACCGCTTGTGTTTATCTTTTGAAATAAAAAAAAAAAGTTAGGTATGTCTGTCCAAATGATAGAAATGATCAAGAAACTGAAATTGTTAGTAAATGTTTAAAATGTCGATCCAATTTATCTTCAAAAATAGCACATGAAGGTGTATCTTTTGTTTCATATTTGAATTGACAAGGTGAAAAAAGCTTGTATGCAAATTTTCGTAAAAAAAAATAACCGTTGGATCAAATCTGTACCGTATGCCCTTTTCTAATTCCGATTTCATCAGGAAAGACATTTCATTTTAAAACTCGAAAAGGAAGAGATTTGTGTAATACAAATACTATTGTTCATTCTTTGTTATCACATCTTATTTATAGAAAATGAAAATAACACTTTGTTACTGGTATCCTGCCAAGCGGTTTTCTTAAAAACCTTCATCAAGAACGCTTAAGAACGCTGAAAGCCAGACATTTGAAAACCAAGGATGAATAAATTCCGAATCACGTGGAGAGCTTTATGACAAAAAAAAGACATAAAATTAATAACCAAACCAATCTAACGTTAACTTTGTCTGAGGGAGTATTTAATCTAGAAAACTGGTTAAATTTGTTGTAAAACCGATGTACCAACTACATAATTTTGTGACTTTTTTTTTGAACAATTATTTGAATAAATAAATGAAAACAAAAACAGAAAAACCAGTTTCTAGATGTAATCAGTAACATGCTAGGACGACTTTTGTTTTATTTTTGTTAACATAATCTTGTTGGTGTTTAATATTAAAGAAAATATACAATCTTAAGTGAAAAAAATAGCCAACATCATAGCCAAGAAGAAAACGATGAAAGGACAAACAACTATAACAACAATCTTCATGAAGAAACTTACGAACCAATCAGAAATCGAGAATAAAATGAAGTTAAATTGTTTGCTTTATTTAGAACAAATCCACAGTAAAGACAACTCAAATCTTTTTTCAATTGTAGATTCTACGACAGGAAGAAGTGGCTACTGGTATGATATGTTATAATATATATTTGTTACAGTACAATATTCCTCCATAAAGTGATATTCCCATAAAGTTCCAGGTGTTACATTCTATTCATTTGTAACGTGCTTGTCTTTGAATTTACGTCATGAAAGTGTCTCACATTTTCTTTAGATAAAAGCATTTTCCCATTTTTTTTTCTTTTGTCATGTTTGTTATAATAATGATTTTTTTCTCCACCTTATAAAAATTTAAAACACACACTGACAGCTAAGATAAGAACAAAACACCCACCAATAACTCTTCCAGTAATCGTTAATACGTGATTAAAGGAGTAAGTGTACAATGATTGCCCCAAGTCATTATACATACGGTAGACTGTTTATGTTCATCAACATATACATTTGTATGACCACGTCGACAATATATCCTTAGTTTATAAATAAAATTGAGAATGGAAATGGGGAATGTGTCAAAGAGACAACAACCCGACCACAGAACAGACAGCAGCAGAAGGCCACCAACAGGTCTTCAATGCAGCGAGAAATTCCCGCACCCGGAGGCGTCCCTCAGACAAAAGACCATTTGTCTGCCGCCGAACAAAAATAAAAAGTTGTACAAGACATGAAATTTCGAAAATCAAGTTCCATTAACATTGTTTTATAGGAGCATATGAAGTATGCATTAAAGCTGTATGAAATTGAATTGATTCATATATTTAAGCGGAAAAAACCGTTTCAGAAATTTTCTAAAAAGTTTGTTGTATTGTCTTAATTTGCTACCTGATATAACATTTTCGTAGCAATGGCAATGATATTTCTGTTCCACAAAACTTATAATGTAAGACTTATCCAAAGCAAACATATGCAAAAATAAAATGAACATGAAACAAGCCTTTGATTTGATAGTACGTATATCTAAGAATTTTAAAATTGTTAGCATCGTAGATGCGAATTACTTGGTTTTTTTTGTAAGTTGAAACGGACATATGGACACCAATGGCATGATATTGGTAACAAACCAATGTTAGTCCAAAGTATGACATTGACGCAGAGTAATTCATTAAAAAATTTTTTTTTTCAATTTGAGAAAAACAACATGTTTTGAAGAAAAGGGGCATTTTGTATTTCAAAATCTTTAGGGATGTTGATACTTTTTTCTTAAAACATGTATACCAACATATCATCTTACAGAATTCTTGAACATAGTTGGACCAAATTGCTCTTAATAGCTTATATTGTATGAAAGTGTAAAGCAAATATCCGTTTTAAATTTACCTGATAAGATTCTTAATCTGCCGCCAAGTGATGAGATACTTGACAGATTGTGTCTTCGTATTGGTAAGGAGTGGATGGCTCTTGGCTGAGAACTTGGAATTGAAATAGAACGTCTGGAACAGATAGAATACGACAACCCAAAAGTACTCCGTGAAGTCAGTAGGCAAATGTTATATTGCTGGAGGAACAAAGAGGATGACTCAACAATCAGAGAGCTACTCCATGCTTTAGAAAGATCTGGTAGGAATCCACATCTGATTACAGAAATTTTAGAAAACTGTGAAAATTACCCCAAATTACCCAGCAAACACACGACGTACTCCCGACGTCGGTTAATGGTCGTCTGAACGTCATGTCTTCAGTTTACGTCGTACCAACGTTGTGGGAACGTAAAAACCCAACGTTGGATGCAGACGTACAGACGACGTTATAAAATTACGTCGAATTTACGTAAATTTAGTACCCTGTCAGGACGTAACATTTTATTACGTTGTGACAACGTACTTATAACTGTCATAATCCGACGTAACATTTTGTTACGTCGTATCAACATTATAATAACGTAGTGAACAAACCCTGTGAATACCAGTGACACATTTAAATCTGGTTTTATGGAACGAATTTTGTGGTTATGAGTCTTACTGGATATATCATTCACATTCACTAGAATATATTCACGATTTTTTCGATTTTCAAAATATCCCCCTTTTTTCCCGCACAGACATAATTTGCACCAAAATGTCCAAGAAAATCCAATTTTAATGTTCTAATATATATATATTTTATATGAATATTTATTGTTTAATATATCATTAAAGTTTTGTCATCATTTATTATTTTAATTTCATAATCGGTTTTTTACGATCGGTTATAATAGTGGAACGTTCAGCAGTACTCGGGTTTTACCACTGCATACTATGAAAAGTCTGAGCATGCGCACTTTCACCGCTTGGTTTTTAAAAACAGTGATAAAACTTGCAGTGAAATTTAGCTCGATCCAGATTCGAGAACAAAGAAAAAGGTAATATAATAATTGCACATTACGCCAAAAAGGTTCTCCATGATTAAAACCAGTATGATTGAAGAAAATAAAACATCTGTTGCCGTGTTGTGCGCCTCTTTCAAGTCTGTTGTCCGTGACCGTGTTGAAATATGATACTTCTTCTTTTACTGTCAATATATTGCACTGATACAAGATATTTTAGCCAAAATTTGTGTTATTTGAATCCATTTTTCAAATTGCTCGATTAGCTAGTGTTGTTTTTTAAGATATATGCAATTAGCTGTAGAAAGTAAAAAAAAAGGGGGGGGGGGTGCACAGCCACAGGCACTTGTTTTCTATCCATGACAAGAGCTACTATCCCTATATATTAAGGCTGCAAGTGTCTTTTGCACTGTTATTTTTTGATAATGTTGCAAGCATAAAAGTCTGATCAATATCACAAATGCGAAGCTAGACATCTGGGCACATTACAAACTCGGCACATTACAAACTTGGCACATTACAAACTTGGCATATTACAAACTTGGCCAATTAATGATAATACTACATGTATCACTGGGGGTCATCCTGAACATGCATGAAATATTTGCCACTGGACGTTAAGCAACCAACAATCAATGTGTCACTGGGTCTGACATGGGAATAGACATGTCAATTGTGCCAATAAAGACTGTCGAAGATAGGCGTCACAGAAAAAAAAATTAAAATAGCTTTCCAAGACGTCATAATTATTTAGACTAAGATCCAGTCGGGAAAAGTTGGGTAAAATTTTCCTGTTTTCAGGGTAAAACCCAGTTTACTGGTGTTAAAAAAACCTGTATATAGGGACGTCTTTTTTGCTGTTCAATTTATGGTATGAAATCTACATGTTTATCAATGACGAGCTATATTCAACTCTCACTAAATGTGTGATCAGAAACAATGTCGTAATCAATCATAAAACTTATGAATTTTTGAATGCATGTAAATTAGTCACCTACCTAGTTTTCCCAAAGATTTGTTGGATTGACACGCATGTAAACAGACGTAAGAATATAGAAGATAATTGAATGTATTTATAATTTTTTTCCAGAGTCTTGTATAAAAATCCACAGATCCAATGTGTCTGAGGTTGAGGAATGCATTGCAGTAACAGTAAGCATGCACCAGCTAGCTCAAAAAGATGGACCAAGATATAAAAAGGTAAACATCAGTTGATCAGCTCTTTTTATGCCCTCCTTCACTGAGTGATATAGTTTTACTCTTGTACTGTACGTACATACATTGAACTCAAAATTGGTTTCTGTTCTCTAACTTTAGTTTGCCTGAACGACATATTATGAAATTTATACACAATGCTTATTATCATAAAACGCAGAGTTTGAATTTGGAGAGCATCTGTTTTACTGTTCTTTAGTTATGTCCTTTAATAACATCATTTGTGGCTCATGGACACATTCTTCTTTTATTAATTTTATTTATCAAATTATAATTTGTTGATTTTATAGATTGCATTCATTGGCATATGATATAAGGTCTTGCTGTATTGATGTAAATTCTAAATTTATTAAGGTAAAATCCTATGAATATCTTAAATTAATTGCATGATAAATGACAATTTTGAGAAAACCAAAGTCATTATTTTTGTCGAATAACTACTGGTTGGGGGACATAGTATTTTCTGGAACAGCCATAATTTCATTAACACATGTTCAATTTAACAACAAATTTATTTTTAAAAAAAAAACAAAGGTTAACCAAAAGTTATAAATTATTATATACCGTTGAAATTATGTTAAAATTTCTAACATACATTATCAAAATGTGTATAATTGGCAAAGATACAAACATCTCAGTAACAGCACAACATAATTATGAATCTGCAAGATTTATTGTAGACAAGCAATAGAAAAATAGTGATTATGTTTACATACAGGATATTTTTTAAGAACTGTTGTAATTCATAAGTTGGGATAAACTTTTTTTTTTGTATATTATAATTTATGATTATTTTTTTTTTCAGAGACCTGAAACCAACACAAGACCAGCTGATCAGAGGGCAGAAAACCAAAATTTGGAATGACATGTATACAACCAACACAAGACTAAAATTTGGAATAAAAATTTAAAAAATGCAGAAACATATTATTTTTTTATTGGTTCATGTAGCCAAGAAAAAAGAAGTCTTAACTTTTGGATAGATCTATCTCTAGTTGGTCAATGGAAAAAGCAATAGTTAGTTTGATTGAATTTCAGGTATTTTCGTCATTTTGGATATTTTTAGAAGTGTGTATAAGTTGTGTAGAATATATATTTGTAAATTAGACAGTCAGCTTTTGGGCCTTTTTCCAAACTTTTTTCCTAGCTTGTTATTGTGTAGTGAATCCAGCTGAATGAATCTAAAGTAAATATTAAGGTATATGTGGTAGTTTGTTGTATTTTTGAATAATTCATTAAAAAATGTTTTCCTTCGTCAAAGTGAAATCTACATTCTAGAATTTCCACCATCATAGTGAAATCTATATTCTAGAACACTAAAACCCTAAACATTCAGAAGTCGCAGCATGTACCAAGATGTCATGTTGAAGGCTGTACAGTTACCTATAATTGCTAACATCATCAATATTTGATTTTAGGATAGAGGGTTGTCTCATTGGCCATCATACAAAATCTCCTTTTTCCAATAGTATTATGTGTTAATTTTTTTAAAGAAAAGTTGCTTTTGTTAAATGGTAATGTGTAATCTTGTACTTCAGTGTTGCAAAAGTTAAAAACTAAGACTTTAACCTTAAACAACTGCGTAAAACATGAATTGGACAAAACTACAGGTTATTGTAAAATATAATGCAAAGCTTTTGGGAAAACGAGATATTTATACATTTGACATTTAAACCTGGCAAAAAGGTAAAAAAAAACCTTTTGTGACTATATTATACACAGCTGGCAGTTTGGAAATAGACTACATATCGACATTGTGTCCATCTTTCCTACATAGACAAATTTACAACTTAAAACAGGTCAAAAAAATAAACTATAGACCCTGTTTACTTCTTCAATGGAATCATATTACTCCTATCAATCAAATGAGGACAAGGGACATTTACAGTTGTGTTGTGACGTTGTTACAACGTCTTATGATGGTAATAAATAACGTTGTGCCATCGTTGTTTGGTTTGTTGTCAGCACGTGCCTTGGAGTCCACAAAATTACGTTGTACCAACGTAATTTAACTACGTTGTCACAACGATAGTATTACGTTGTCACAACGTAATGTCAACGTTGGATTGTTTACTTGGTAATCCCTGTTGATTGATGTTTCTAGGATCAAATTCATGACCGTTTTCGTGAGTGAAATATATAACACTTGTAAATAAATTAGCTTTTGATATTGAGTATATGTATATTTGTAAATAGATTATGATGCACAATTGTATCTTGTGAATTTGTATAGCATCAATACGTGTATCCTAATATATATTGTGTCATGATATTGTCATTCATATTTTCACTGCAACAATCGAATTATTTGTTTAAATTAAGTTTAACTAAACGGGTTGTTTTAAAAGGGATTTTCATCAAAACGTCCTCTTTAATGATGCAGATTTAAATTAAATTATAATTGAATGTCCAAACCGGTGTAAAAATATATATTTATTGATAACACAGGCTAGTTCATATCGATGTTTTATTCAAATTCATCAATAAGATAAGATTAACAAATACTCGGTTTTAATTACTTACATAAAAGCTGAATACAATAATTTGATACAGCAGGGAAGAATAATTATGTATTATTTATTACTTAGACTGATATGAAGAGGAACCTATTTAGACTGTAAATTTATGAAATCTCTTATGTCTTGTGAAACTTGTTCACGTGTGTGTGTCATATGTGTCATCATACTAAAACTTGTTATATTCCAATGCTAATAAAACAATTTGTGTTAAACTTAAATAACCAATTGCATACCTATCTTGATCTTATCTTTATAAGTAGATTTGTATATAAATATATATATAAGTGGGTCAGATTTTTGTCCTCACTCTTACGTCTTTGTCATTTATTCAATTGATATTATTTTATTTGGTTTAATTTTGTATGAATTACGAAGTATAATTTCATATTTATTATGAACTCCTATGCCAAATGATTCAATTGCAAAATGTATTTTTTGCATTTTATGATTTTGAATAAATGATTTTTTTGACAAACTTATTTCATACAATAAAACGGGCTCGGATTCATGCGTAGTAAAAAAAATCCAAGACCGTGTTTAGTTTTAATATCCGTCTTTATTGTGGCAGATACTAAAGTTGTCATTCGTTAGTCAGAAGAAATTTTAAAAATGTACTTGATATTTGAGATAAATATAAAACCTCAGTCAAAATATGCTAAACCGCATTCTAGCCTCGCATACACAAAAACATGTTTCAACATTTATATACTAGTATTGAATTAGCATTTATGGTGAAAATTGTCATTAAGACAAGGAGAGAAATTTATACGTGCATTGCTTTTTATAAGTTGTTAAATTGTATGATATTCATTCAAAATCTCCGTCTCAATCCCCCCGAAAATTATATCGGGTTTTACTCTAGGATGTGAAGTTGGTGAAAACGATTTCATGCAAAACCCAAACCGTAATTCCCTAACAGTTCTGGATGATGGAATACAGAAATAGCTAATTAAATATGATATTTCAGAGTGTATCTCACTTCGCATGCCCAAGAAATCATGTGAAACAAGGAATTAGTTCTAAAGGAAACATTAAATAAAGTGAGAAAATAGTGTTGAATTATCGATCAATGGTAAGGAGAATCTACATATTAAATGTAGAGCGGACGAACAAACGCCAAGCACCCGCCTGTTTATATTTATAATGAATGCAATACAATGCACATTCTAGTACGGTGTTTTTTGTGTCTATTTATGCTACTTTGGGTTTGAACGTTTCGGTCTATTTGTTATTGAGTTGTTTAGTCCGGAGCTTGATTAATAGTTGAGAGCTCCCTGCAATATAGAAGATCAATTGGGACAGCGTGAAGGTGTTTTGTAGTTTTTAGTGTTATATTACCTTGTGTTCTCTTACCATATGTCCCTTTATTTCCATACAGACATACTTTTTTAGCCAAGTTTTACGAACCAGTCCCTTATTTTCTCTTTTGTCAAGATTGGCAAAATTGGCTGGCGAAGATCTTATAGACGTGGATAGTTTTATTTTCCAACTTTACATTTTAGATACATTTATTATTATACGAAAAGTACTAATATTTCTCGTTTTGATGCATCTTTTAAAGTAAATCAAAGACTTATAGAATCAAACTGAAGAACATTTCAGCAACATTAAAATTAAAACCCCACTATAAAATAAGAATGACAAATAACAGGAAACGATGTGACACTGGTGGCTGCTCACCTAACTTATAACCAACATGACTGTCTTTCACGAGATGATCAGCCGACGATAAACCTGAGTTTTCTGAAGTCAAATTGAAGTGTATTGTTTATGTTGAAGAAAAATAATCTTTCTTTGTTTTACAGATCGTGATCTTTCTATGATTATTTTGGACATTCTGAGATATAATAACTCAAAAAAAATCAAGCAAAATAAGCAAACCATCATTCTTAAAAGTTTCTAACACATACCAAATCACCATTGCTGTAATTCAGTAGGTTGGAGTGGTTATGCACCTGTTTTTTTCAAAGTAAAATCAAGGGCTATCACGGTTCAGGCGATATCCAAAATTCGAAAATCAAGTGACAAAGACCAAAGACAAAAACGGAGACAGCATCAACGACAACAATATGATAACAACAAGAAATATACAGCAAACTAAAAGGTAAAGTAGCAAAACGAATTCCGCTATAAATTGGAAGCATGGACTAGGTGAACCGGTAAGGTAAGAAAGTATACTTATTCCGTAATAAATGTTTTAACATCATCGTAGATACATAGCACACCTATATCAGAGAAAAGAAAAAAAAAAGACGACCCCATTCGCCAGCCTCACAATAATTATGTGACGATCTTTACTGTTGTGTGTTCTAATCTTCACCCCATTATTCGCTAGAGATTGGACTCTATTCACAAGTTTTCAATGAAACACGGATAAAATATCAATTCAATATAAATATGATAACAGATTATATAAGTAGGTCATCATTTTAATAATCAGTCATTAAAATCGGGTTTTGAAAACGTTGCTTTTGAAACATGACGTCCATGCATGCGCAGTGCTTATTAACAAATTTTTAAACAAAATTGTGGGCGTTTCTCTATTGAAAAAAAGCAGTTCTGATCGAATTCTTAGAGTAAAGTATTTGTTTTAAGCTATCTAGAAAATAATTATACATTACTTGTGTTCTAATTTGCAATGTTTATGCATGCTGAGTTATCGTTAATAATTTTCTCTTAAATCTTAAAGAAACATGTTTGCGAGCGCCCAACCCTTCCCTCACCAACAAACCATTTCAGTTTCCATGAAAGGGCATACTTTGGGTTTACAACGTTGAGATTACAAAAAGGCTGTTATATGTGGTTATTGTTTAAACCCGATTCTACTGTTATTATGTTATTGTTTAGAAATGATTTCAGCAGTAGCAAAACACAACCATTTAGATAAATAAGAAATGATTATCTATGCTTCTCGAGATTGGCCCCACTATAGCCTGTTGTAGTTTTAGAAATGAAAACCGGCACCAAAAATCTACTTTTCTAACACTTATATTAAGTCTGGTATTGTTCATCAGATTAAATGCAATTATGTAAGATCTTATCAATCCTTATACAATTTACTGAACTTAATTGTCGTTTTTATCGTTACAACATTCGAAAAGAGAGGCGAAAGATACCCACAGGACATTCAAACTCATAAGTTTTTCAAACTTTAAAATGTCGCATTTATTCCAGATCGATATTTTTTATTGGTTTCTCGCTTTCATCAGCAGGTGATTACAGCTTTTAACACACGCCAATATTAAAACATACGATTTGGACTCTTCAAAAAACAAAATAATAAAGAATGAAAATATTACCTCTATTATCATTGTATTTCTTATTACATGTCTAATCAAACGATAACTTAATGTGCCTTTGACGTACTGTACAGATGTATAAAGCTATGTTATACTGAACTACTGTCACCCGACAAATCGGCCCAAACTGTGGAGGCATCTGTGTTTGCCTGGAGAGCCTCATCAATTCAATGCTGCAGATACTTTGTAATTTATGAGAGGTCCAAAGATGACTTGTAGTAAATTCCAAAAGATAAAAAAAATGCAGAAGACACTTAAAACTTAACCAATACCTTGAGTAGAAAAAAAACAATACCATGGTCAAGAATTATATGATCCTACTACCAATTATTGCCATGACTGAATTATACACCAAAGTCAAAATGACGTGAATATAAACATAATAAAAAATGAATATCGCTTCGCTGATGTACTGTTGGTTTGCAATTAAATACTTCCACCAATTTAAATTTTATATGCATGCATTCTTAAACTTGACCTTTAGTACAGATAAGTTGCGCATGAAGTCAGCATGTACATTCATTAAAAAGAAAAGAATGTCAATTTTGAAGTGTAAGGGAGAAAACAGGAAATCCTGTTTAGTTCTATATTCAGTCTTTTAGATGAAATCAATCCGGCTAATAAAAATAGTCATCATACGATTGCACGTGCTTGTCTGTTTATTCATATCTTTATCTATATTAATATCGGGTTAAATGGTTCGCGGCAGTCATCAGAGGTCATCTTTGTGAATAATAAGATGGCGTCTAGTCTAGAATAGGCATGCCATGCTGATATATTATAATGAGTTCAAGCATTGGTAATTGTTTCTTTTTGAACATTTTGTAATTTGCATAAACTTTTTAGTTTGATAAATATCAAACGAGATTCTTTTGTCAAATCGATGTTTTTGATTTTGACAGCAAATGACCCTTTTAAGATAAAACATAGAATAATAAGATCATTTTAAATAGTTAATTCTCATTTAATATTTTAATATACATTTAAAGTAGTACGTCGACAGGTTAATTGCTCTAATCGATGTTAATATATTACAGAAAATTGCAATTGTCTTTTTAATTATTATAAAATGTCATTGAATCGATATTTGTTCAATCTTTCATTGAACGTAGTGAAGTACAAGTACCTCTCATTTTGAGAAATATTATACCTTCATAACTTCTAATTAGGTCAGGTATTTTGAACCCGAGTATAGTACAAGTACCTCTCATGTTGATAGATACCATACCGTCATAACTTCTCATTAGGTCAGTTATTATTTACCCCAGTATAGAACCAGTACCTCTCATGTTGAAAGATACTATACCTTCATAATTTCTCATCAGATCAGGTATTATTTACCCCAGTAAAGTACAAGTACCGCTCATGTTGATAGATACCATACCGTCATAACTTTTCATTAGGTCAGGTATTATTTACCCCAGTATCGAACCAGTACCTCTCATGTTGAAAGATACTATACCTTCATAATTTTTCATCAGGTCAGGTATTACAAATGTATTAACCCCAGTATAGTACAAGTACCTCTCATGTTGATAGATACCCTACCGTCATAACTTCTCATTAGGTCAGGTATTATTTACTCCAGTAAAGAACCAGTACCTCTCATGTTAATAGATACTATACCTTCATATCTTCTGATTAGGTCAGGTATTATTCAGTCATGTATGGTCTTATCATTACTTATACCATATACATGTATTGAACTTGTCCGTATTTATTTATCTTTACAATATTTGAAAATGTTGCAATTAGTTAAGATCGGAATATTTTTGTGTTGTTTCTCACTTTCGTCTCCACGTGAGTAAATTTTAAAAAAAACTTCAACATTACATTAATTTTATGTTTATAGTTAAATTTATAAATATTTGTGTTAGATGCAGAGATATATAAAAAATGAATAATGTCCGTAAGGTTGATTAAATTTAAATGACATTAAGTTTAAGACAGAAAGCGTGATTAAAGAGAATGCGACAGGCACATTGGGATCAAGGATACATCAAGAATAAATATTTTACTTCAAAAGTCTGTAATTCTTATTACTTATCTAATATCAATAAAAAGTATTTTGCCCTCGGTGTACTGTACAAATGAATAAAAATATTTTAACTCAACTGCTGTTGTTGGATAGAAAGACCCAAACAGCGGAAACACCCATCATTTAGTGAGGGATCAATATAAGTACACATGCACGTCCGCCTGGAGATACACATTCAGTGTAGAAGATGTGTTGTTACAACTGAGGGATCCACAGGTGGCCTGCTATAAGGTTTATCAAAATAGGCAGACGATACCAAAATAAAAAATAAATATGGCCAATAATCTTTATGATTTAACTATACAAATATTTCACATGGACAAACAAGAAAAACGCCCAAAAGAGCAACACCACTCTATAAACCACTTCACTGAAAACTGTTTACTTAACATCGAGGGCCCTTTGAAAAACGGAGGCAACCTCTTTTTTTTTTACCCCTTTCTTTATAACCTTTTTTGTCCTTTAGGAATCCAAGATAACCAATATTCACTACGTCCATACCCTTTTAAATTTATTTATCTGGTGTATTTTAAAAACTGTTTTGTCATGGAATGCAATATTGAAATATTTGCCACTGAACAACAAATTTTGTAATCATATTCCCCTTAAAATTTACTTTAAAATGTACATTCTGTTTTATTCAGTTTTATTAGACGATGCATGTAGACATGGGTGGCTGCACTTCCGAGATAGGTGTTACATGTTTGCCATAGAGAAAGAAACTTGGACAAATGCTGAGGTAAGCAACAAAAAAAAAAAAACACACACACATTGTAGATTGCAATAAAGGTGGTAAATTGACGGTTAAGAACATCATATGGGAAATATTGTTTGGCATTATGAAAACATAACCTTATATGGAATTTAAATCTAATGTGAATATTTCTCAAATTAGTCCAATCCTACAAAATCCTAGAAAGTTACATGTGGTATAGTGCTAAACATACACCTACTCGTAAATTTACGTTTCTGAAAATGGAAAAAGGGTGAAATAATTTATCTGAAACGGTAATTAATCAGGACTACAACTTCCCAATCTCTTTCTTGTCGTTTCCATTGATCTTTATAGTCCAATAATACATTGTTGTAGCTTGTACTTGTTTTGTACATTCTGTATATATATTTTTTTTATATTTTTACCTTTGACTTTGAACATGGTTGTTTTATTCTTTACCAGATCTTTGCTGGTTTTATTTTGTGTGGTTTTTTTTTTTTTTTTTTTTTTTTTTTTTTTTTTGGTTGTTGTTACTGTAAAGACAGTAACGTTGTATTTCATCGCTCATTTTTCAGTTTCGTTGCCGTGTTTTTGGAGGACACCTAGCTGAAATCGAGGATGCTGATACAAACAAGTTCTTGAAAGATACAGCACAAATGAGGAATTCAAATGGTATACTTGTATTTGTACTTTCATAGAATTAATATAATCGTGTTTTAGCATTTAATATTTAGATACAGCTTGGTTACCTTAAGTTATTTTCCGAAATCATTCAAGTGATCCTAGTTTTTCCGAGAGACATATTATGTTAGAATATTTGTGTAAGAAATACTTCATACAAAATATTAAAAACAAAATTAATTTACTTTGCTAAAAACCCATTTTGAATTAGTTGTATGTAGCAGACTCTTACATTTGATGTGCGTGTAAAATATTTGCCACCCAATAAAGCAACCTATTAAATATATAGAGTTAGGATCTGGTAGAAATATATTAGTTTACAGACTCGAATTAACATCGCTAATTACACTTTATTGTCTCAACGTCTTGGTATATGACGGGTTGGCTAATCAGATCGTTCCAAATAGTAACGTTTTAATATCGAAACTAATTGTCCTTTTTATAAACAGGTTTACCGCCTCCGGGTGCGGGATTTTCTCGCTGTGTTGAAGACCCATTGGTTGCAATAAGCTGTAATCTATTCTGTATGGTCGGGTTGTTGTCTCTTTGACACATTCCACGTTTACATTCTCGATGTTATAAACAAGACTTTAGAATAATCAACAAAAAGAATAGACAAAATTGCTCTATGATATTGTAACTTAATTGAAAGACGTTCTACATGTTAAGAATTTAAAAAATGATGCAGATGGGCATTAAAGAAAAACAAGATTAACATTTTTCAGAATATTTTTTTTTAAATGTCCAAGTTTAGTGTGTTAATCTTTCCTAAATCTATTGCCAAGAATGATAATAATATCACGCACACCCCGAATTGTCAGATCTTCCAAATGATGTCGCTGAAGCTGATAAATATAGACGTGGTATTTTCTCGTGCTATAATTCTAAACTGCTTCACGTGCTTTCAATTATTTATATTTGTAGATCACAAACATCATTATTTCATTGGACTGACTGACGAAGCCGCATTGGACGAGTGGGAATGGGTGGAAAGCGCTACAAAACCAAACTTTACAGATTGGGGTAATAACCAGCCAGATCACAATGGAAACGATGAACACTGCGTTTTATTTTATGCGCGTGATCATTATCGATGGCATGACGCAGATTGTGACGATCATAATTATTTTATATGTGAAGAAGAAGAAGTAAATTCAGGCGGAAGTATCATTGGTTGAAAATAAAAATGAAACATGTATATGTATTGATTTTTGTTGTTGATTAGCAATGCCGTCAAAAAGATGTTTACAAGATTAAATTGTTGACTAAAACACACCCGCGAATCGCGGGCATTAAAACGTTGTTGAAAGTATGTAAACTGTTGTAGGATGAATTTTTGTAAAAGATTTTATGACTGGAGAATTTCAGGAAAGGTATCAAAAGTATCTGAAACATGTACTGATGTCAATATAAATTTTCGACCAGTTCAAAATATTGGATGTAAATCTAAAGAATGTCAACGCAAAGTTCCGTCAAAAATTTGTAGTAACATGAACGCACAATTTTTAGGAGGCGAGTTGCTTTTTCACAATGATTTTTGTTTCGTTTTGCAGAAGACATAATAATCGATATGTTAACCTTTTCAATTTCAGTCATTCGAAACGGATTCCACTAATGAAATAAGATTATTATGTGTTATTTGCAAATAAGAATTGAATAATGAATAGAGCCATAATAAAAGGGTACTCAATAAACAATGCGATTTATGCACAAAACTGTCATATTTTACTGAAATCTGGAAAGGGCACAAGACTTAATAAGTTGTTGACTTTTAAGAAAGCAAATTAATTCTAATATGGGGTGCTTATTACGTCATATGAATAGAGCCGTAATAAAATACTGAATAAACCAAAACCACTATAAATCGACGACGTCACAATGCGATTTGTGCACAAAAATGCCAGGTTTTACTTAAACGGCGTCAGAGTTTTCAGTTGGAAACTTTACCATATTACAATCAAAATAATTCATGCATTCCATAGATTTGTTTTCATTTTCACATGGCTTGAGATGTTATATTCGTTAATTTTATCACTTGCTTACGCTCGGTATAAAATTCCAATATAACGACCCAGGCTATGTGAAAATTTTCAACAAATCTATGGCTTGCATGCATTATTTCTTAAATTAAACATCATTATGTACCGGTACCAGGGGACCCAAGAAGTTGTATTTTTATCGCTTCCAGTGACCGAAAGAATGTTTGATACCGGTTCCTGTAGCTCAGGTACCTAAAACATTAAAATTCTAATAAAACGACCCAGGCCATGTGAAACTTTTCAAAATCTATGGCTTGTATGAATTATTTCTTAAATAAAACATGATTATGTATCGGTTCCAGAGGTGCCAAGAAATTGTATTTGTATTGCTTCCATGGACCGAAGGAATCTTTGATACTGGTTCATGTAGCTCAGGTACCCAAAACATGTATGTAATCAAGTTACGCTCGTAGAGCCATAATAAAAAACTCAATAAACCACAACCACTACAAATCGACGACATCACTATGCGATTTGTGCACAAAACGTCATATTTTACTGAAATGGCGTCAGACTTTTCAGTTGGAAACTTTACTATATCCATAGATTTGTTTTCATTTTCGCATGGCCTGGGTCGTTATATTCGTTAATTTTTCTTCCTTGCTTACGCTCGGGATAACATTCCAATATAACAACCCAGGCCATGTGAACATTTACAACAAATCTAGGGCTTGCATGAATTATTTCTTAAATAAAACATGATTATATATCGGTTCCAGGGGTCCCAAGTAATCGGATTTTTATCGCTTCCAGGGACCGAAGAATGTTTGATACCGGTTCCTGTAGCTCAGGTACCCAAAATATTGTATGTAATCAAGTTCGGAATTAAGGGTTGTTTGTAAATTTATCAAAATTCTGTGTTATTTTCAACAGTCATAAACGGAAGTCTTGTCTATGACTTAAAAGTCCGTCCGATAACAGAAACAATATCTGAACGCCTTTATTTTTGTTTTTCTCCCAAAATAACCCAAACGAAATAATCATAAGTGAGGATGACAAATGCGACTATGCATGGTACATTTTTTTTTATAGGACATAGAGGCATGATGATTGATTTATTGTGGAAGGAAGAGAAGAAAATAAGGTCTTCTCATTTAATAGTATACATGTAGAAGATATGCATAAAATTAAGGGTTACTGTATCACGTGGACAAATCAATTGAAAATAATGCTAAATACTTAATCTTGTTATTTTAACATATTGTTTGTTTCATTGAAAACGGACAGAGGAGAATGCATCATATATATTGACCTAAAGGATTTTGTCAATCCACAATGTAATGACAATACAAGTGAGAATTTCGAAATCATTATTACATTGAGAAAAGATAATATTAATAATAATAGATAAGTGATTAAACGAAGGATAAGATGTGTAAGCACATTTTTATAGCCGAAAAAAAAATCATTTATAGTGCTGCTTAATACATCTTTTGCTTTTCTGTATAAACTGTTCTGTTCAGAAAATATAAATGTTCTGAACATTGTGAAACATCCCCACACACACGGCGAGTCCACTTATTACAAATATGTACATAGATGGCAATTCTTTTTGGACCTTGACCATTTCGTTCCTCTGCCATTTCGTAATCAAAATTACCATTTCATACCCAAATTTTACCTTTTCGTACCCATGAAAAAAACCATTTCGTACCATATAAACAAAACATATACCATCTCATGCATAGACTTAATAGATGATAACTATTTCGAACAATATATGTGTACAAACATCAGTGATGGAGATTTTGTATAACACAAATTTATTATTCAAAAAAGATAATGCCTCATTATAAGTTTTTAATGTTTTAATTTAATGCATTCTGGTCCTTCCAACAAGATATATAAAAAAATGATTTTGTAAAACATGTTGAGATGATCTTAATATTAAACAAAACTCAAACACACCCGCAGGTCCGTGATTGAATAAAGTACCTATGCTTGATTTTTACCTGGATGTTTAGTATTCGTATTTTAATCTGATAAAGTCCTGCTGATTGTAAGGTACATAGTTTTTGTTTGCTTTAAAAATCTTTCTATTTGAACCCGTTCAGGTTTTCTTACTACAATAAACTTAGTTTAAGTTGAATTATTAACTAATCAACCGAAATTATTAGTAGTATTGAGGTGAAGGAAAGGGACTTGTTAGATAGTATACGCAGTGTAACATGGATATAAACAACTACTGGAAGAATTCCAGCTTCTCCTAATAGAGGAGGGAATTACAGAAGGTAACAAATAACTACAATTGGAAACTATATGAGACATATACTATTGGTATTGGTATCGGATTCGACCCGGAACTTGTTAATTATTGAAAATATTGCATTTTGATTAGGTGGAAAACAAAAGAGTCTTGTATGGTGTAACTTTTTAACAACACCATTATCCTAAATTAGTTAAATGTAAAGTTGAATGCTTTCATTCGTCGTCTTTACGTCATGCCGGGTAACAAATTGGACCTCCTAGTTTTAGTAGTTTAGATATAACATAACAAAACGCTTCCAGCAGTAGAAACTTTCTAAAGACCTATACTTGGTTTGAATAGGTAGTACACGGAAACCTTGATATATATTTCGGGAAAATCTTTCCGAAATTTGGGGCCTCGATGCTCTTAAACTTCATTCCTTTTTCGGCCTTTTTAACTTTTTTATTTCAGCGTCACTGATGAGCCTTTTGCAAACGAAACGCACGTCTGGATTACACCATCTAAATCCTGGTATCTATGATAAGTTGATTAATAGTTTTTGCCAGATCATGCAGTGAAAAGGACACATGTCAAGCTGATATTCACTCAAGGAGGAAGCCACGAATAAAAATGTTGTTCAAGGAATTTGCCACCTTGTGTGACCAATCAAAGAACTTGCTACGGCTATTTACCGAGACATGACACACACACACACACACATAAATCTTCCATGAGGTACTAATTGACGTACATATTAATATTCCATACGGTACGAAATAGCACGCATACAAATATTCCATGAGGTACGAAATATTCATGGTACGAAATGGTTGGGGTAGGAAATGACTATAATTCTGTACATATACCTCATTCAATAAATTGCAATGTTATTATTGTGGTCAAGAGTTGAAAAGTCAAAACAGTCAACATAATCAAAAGGACCATCAAAAGCACTAAATTTATCTAAAAATCCAAAGAATGTTTTACACTCCAAAAATATTTAATTCCAATATTTTCATTTTATTACAAAAGTTAATGATAAGTTCTTTGATAGTAGTTAAGGAACTAGTTAAAAGCACTGAGATATTACTTGTAGAACACTTACTAGAGGCCGAGATGAAACGATAGTTTCCTGGTTTTTTTGTAGTTTAGGTAACTAATACATAGTAGGGGCCTTCAAATGTTCAGAAGAGGCCTTAAGCTGAGTGTGATGTGGTTATGATATGTTTGTTTACTATATGACTCTCTGTTGAACGCACGGACTTGTAAATTTCATTCTTAAGAACGTTCGTGTAGTATTTACGTCATACCACCACTACATTGTTGGCTGCTTTGTCGACTGGTACAAACACAAACCCCTTTGAAAGTTCTTGAAGTTTTTTTCCTTTTCTAGAAATAGGCATATTATGTACTCTTTTAATCATTTTTGAATTATTTTCAAAATGTGATATTCGAATATCCACAACATTTACACATTTATTTAAATACTAGAACACACCCGCGACATCGCTGGTTCGTAACTGAATTAAAGTATCTAATTATGTGTAAGCCTTATTTTTTAGTATTGGTATTGTCATCTGAAAAAGTCATGCTGATTATAAGATTCACGGATTTCTCTGATTTCAAAATCATTCTGTTTGAACCCGTCGGCCTTGAACTAATTAATTAAGCATACGTGAAAGCGTATAAGACGGATCGATAACGGTCTCCGAATATGGAAATTGTTTCTCAAAAATTGGCGTTTTCTGTGGAAAAAGATTGTTTCAAAGACAAATTTAGGAAGTACAAAACACTACATTTAAACGTCATGTCACAAATATTTTCGACTTTGTATGGTTTCAGTGGAGTTGCGACTTAATGAAATCGGTCTCTTCCTTTAGTAGTATAGAAGAATCAAGAGATTTTTTAACAGATTTTTCCCGTTTACACCATTTTTTACAATACGAGGAAAGAACGTCTTTTGTGACCTGACGACACTGTTTCCAATTTATTTTAGATGGAGGAGTATATTTTGATCCTTTTTTTTAAATGTTTTTAAACAATTTATACTTTCCCCTGGTTTATCTGTTTAAGCTGTCTATATCAACGATGTCGACGATATCATTTCGATATCAACAATTAAAAAGGTTCTTCATGATTTGTTTCTTCATTCTTTTCAAATAGTTTAGTAAATGTCCTTAATCTTTTTTTTTTTAATTTCAGTTATGTAAAAATAAGGATATATTGTATGTCTGATGTCGTCATATAGAAAGAAGACAGATGAAAACAAAAATGTGGCCTTTATCCTTAATATTCTTTTCATAATTTTATTACATATAGTTTAATAAGCCATTTTGAAAAAATCGTAAGAAATCCTTGTTATTTTTCATAGATTTCCAAAAGAAAAAAGATGCCAATGTTAAATGTACGAAAAATCTAGAGAGAATCATTTCCCGCTAAAATTTTGATAGGTTATATCTTAAATCCAAATACACGGAGCTTATCATTGTTTTCTACTTTATAAATGCCCTTAATAATATACTATCAATTTATAACAGAATTTTCAAAAGATTGTTATTTTTTTGAACAGAGAAGCGAACATCCTTAATTTAATGCAATGTTTCTTTAGCGTCAGAAAGCCTGGTAACCTCTTTGCACAAGCTTTCCGATTAAACGTCCCTATTTGTAATGAACTTAACTGAATAGTCAATCATCTCGCACAGATAAACTGACGCCACCTCTGCATACGTCTTGTTGTCGGACGGGACAAGTCCAGGAAACCATATTTGTATAATCCAGTCAACATTTTGTGTTATACGAAATTGACAGTAAAAGTTCAATATGTTATAAAAACTAATATTTACATTTGATTTGTTAAAACGAATAAATCGTCATTGAACTAGAACCCCGTATGAATATTTAATTGCATCTTTTGAACTTGTAGAAAGACTTGGAGACATACTTGGTATTTGCTTAAAAATGATCGATAATCCTTGTATGTCGGCATATAGTGGGATTAAAACAATATAATATTGTAAATCAAGTATAGTACATATTGGATGCGTTTTTAAACATTGAGACCACATAATTTAATCTACAATACATCTTTAGCCATTATGTGTTATAATAAGACAAACCCAGTGGCACAAGTTCAAGGATTTTCTATCTCAAAAGTTTAATAACTATCTCTTATGTCAGGTGTTTCTGTATAGGTGATCTACTTCTGTGTTGTTTGTACTACAATATATTGAACCTATTCATATTGCGGTTATCTTTGGATCATTTGGACATGTCTCAATTATTTAGATTTATAAGGCTTTGTGCTCTCTCATTTTCATCTGCACGTGAGTAAAACATCAACCAAAATTTGTTTCAAGTTGTACAAAAATCTAATGAGTGGGTAATGATATTATTGGATTCGCTAGAGTAAAAATTCGTTTACGGAGATATTTGCAGATCGTAGTTTAAAATAATAATACAGTTCGTTTGTTCAGTTTGGCGTTTCTTAGGACATTTTTAGCTGATATATGATTTGGTTATTAAAAGACTCCCACTGTTTCAAGCTATGTTGATCCTAGGTTTTTGATGTCACTTTTGACTTTTAGCTTTTCGGTATGCATTTATCCCTGGTTACTAGTTGCTTGGATTTGAGTGTAGATATTTAACGTGAGAAGAATGCGTGGACAATACTTGTTAATCAAGCCACTGTAATATTAAACATTAATTCAATGTCTATTCAAACATCAATTTAAATTATCTCTCCTAATATTAATATTCAAACTATGGATGTTGGCGTTTGTTTTTGTTGCAATTAAGTGTTCCTGTTGTTCCTTTGTTTTCCTCTTATAGTTGATGTGTTTCCCTCGGTTTTAGTTTGTAACCCGGATTTGTTTTCTTTCAAGCGATTGATGACTTTTGAACACCGGTATACTACTCTTGCCTTTATTTACAGCTTTGCAATCATTTTGGGCCAATGGATTGAACGTATAACAAAGAACAAACAATCTGCTTTAATTTTTAATTATTCTAATATATATTGTAAATTTCGACATTCTTATTTGATTTGGACTCTCCTAGCCATTGTCTATAAAATTTTCTTTTGAAACTTTACCTTTAAATAAACATCCCCTCTTATTCAGTTTTACTGGATGAAGGATGCCGACATGGTTGGGTACACTTCCGGGATAGATGTTATATGTTTGCTACAGAAAAGGAAAGTTGGACAAATGCAGAGGTAACGCACTGGTTCCGAATGATAAAGACGGACGTATGATTTATCAAGAACAATATTAAAAATGTGTTTACGTTCTTACGGTTCAATAATAACAATCATGTTAAAAGAAATGGCGGTTCTCTTTCTATTCACAACAGAAATCCCTTATGACCAACTTGAAAGGGCTATTTTTTGGAAACAAACATAAGTAAAAACATAATAGGAATGTTAGGCAATGTCTTTATACAAATATCTAGTATATAAACTACCATAATAGACTGTAAAACCATTTCAATGAGGTAATCTACGTTTTACATATGTTTTAGATGGTTTGGATTTGAAATTTGTCACCTTTCTACTGCGTTCCAGATTGGCCGGGTTAAACCAAAGACTTTAAAATTGGTATTTGCTGCTTCTCAGCTAAGCATGCGGCATTTAAGAGTAAGATCGCACTTTAAGTCTGGTCGGCTCGGAGTCAGAATAATGTGTCCGGGTAAGGTTACATGTCGTCCTGCAGACTGTTACATTTACCTTGTAAACTAGGATGTTAAAAATCCGACTCAGTGTGTTGATCTAGTACACAGCAGGGTTAATATTCATATTACATTAACATGTTCTCTTCATGAATATGCATATTAATTTGCCGCTGGATGCTAAGCAGTCATTCATCATCATCATATCTATTCTTTATTTTTTGAGACATTTATTCTGCACATTTTGCCCATTATTCTCTGTTTTGTAAACCCCTTCCAGATTCCCTGTATATCTGAACAATTTTGAACTAACAAACGACAACATTTAGGAAGTTACTTAGACTCTTAACAAGAATAAACGATTTTAGGTTCACACTGTTAGTGTAGTGTTAATTTAAAATGCTCAGTTAGGATTAAAATAATTTACAAGTGCAAATAAGTTTCAACGACAAACCCACATTAGTTATACACTTTTTATTTCAGTTTCGATTCCGTGTTCTGGTGGACATTTAGCGGAAATACAAGATGCTGCAACAAACAAATTTTTACAGGACAAATCACGATTAGGGCATGCAAATGGTAATTTGTTTATTCTGCCCATGCACTGGTCTACAGCTAGACACAAATGTTTGCCTATTTCTATATAACAACTGGGTTTTTGCTTTTGGAAAAGCCTAATATTTGAGCTAGGTATTGTTTAAGTTACTGAGTTTTCTTCTGGTCGTTCAACTTAATCTATTTCATGACTCAATTCCTAAGGTATATCAGTAAAAAAAATATTGTTCTAAAACTAAAAGAAGTTCATATTCTTGAACCAATTTTAAATATAAATACATGAAGTTAGTGTACGGTTATGGCATAATAATTATCCACCCAAGCCTGTAAAATTCGAGTAGATACATATATTGTTTCTTTTCCCGGTTAGATAGCAACCAAAAAAATAATCAAAGATGTTTTTACTAAGTTCGACTAGATATTAATATGACGTATTGCTAACCAAAAATAAAACATGCGCTCAACATTAAGATGTAACATGGTTTTCGATAAAAGAAGCGGTTTGGTCACTGTTCATCAATCATCTTGTTTACATTGTTTAATATTCTTGGTTGATATCTGTAAGATCAGGTTTACAGATAAATATCATAACTGATTCAGTAAATATAACACCTTTTATTTTACTTAAAGAAATTAATAGTCATTTATATTTATTTTTCACAGACAACGATTATAATTATTTCATTGACCTAACTGACGAGGCGGCTCTGGATGAATGGGAATGGGTGCAAAGTGCTACAAAACCTAACTTTACAAATTGGGGTGATAATCAGCCAGATCACCAAGGCAACGATGAGCACTGCGTTTTTCTTTATGCAAAAGATCATTATCGATGGCATGATGTAGATTGTGACGACCATGATTTATTCATATGTGAGGAAGAAGAGATGAATGCAGGCGGCAACATCATTGGTTGAAAATGAAATTGTAATTATTTTGAATTCATTAATGCACTCTTATTTGATCTATTGTATGAGCATCTATTCTTCATAAATGTTTGACAACTTTCTTTTATTTGACGGGGTAAAACTGACAGTAGTTAAGAAATTAGGAACAATTATAAATTGATGAAAAGCTGAGTTTTTATTTACACGTGTAGATGTGTATAGGTCGGAAGGAACATTGTTAATATTCTTATAAGAAAATATCAATTGGGAAATTAAAAACTATCTTGCCAATAAAGCCTCACACGAAAAGACTACAACATTTCCTTAACACGGTACGAAGCACCTACATTTTGGGAAGTACCACTCCACCCACACTAAACAAGAGATAAGATCAAATAGTCTGGAGGGACAGAAATTTGGCCTCGCTACAGGACGCTCATGATACCTCAAAAAGTTGTTGCTAGGCTAGTCAACATTCCCCAAAACCCTACGAAGCATCTACATTTTGGGAAGCATCACTCCACCCACACAAAACCAGATATAAAATCAAATGGTCTGGAGGAACAGAAATTTAACCTCGCAACAGGCCACCATTGAAACCTCAAAGAGTTGTTGCTAGGCTATTTTACGTGGATATATCGTAGCATTCTTTTTAAAGAAATATATAATTTAAGGTCCGTATTCTGTCCTGGCAAGGCTGCGTGTTTTACTCGAACAGCTAAACGAACCCACTTTGACAAGCGTTTTAATGCCAGTCAGAAGAAGACCAAAATGATCAGATTTCTATTTCCCAGTCACCCTTAGTGATTTTAGTACAGTTTATATATTTGCACATAGCTCCATCTGATCACACCCAGTTTTTTGTTTTTTTTTAGGGGGGGGGGGGGGGAGGGATTGTGTTGCTCAGTCATTAGTTTTCTATAATGTGTTTTATGCATTGTTGTTTGTCTGTTGGTCTTTTTCTATTTTTATCATGGCGTTGTCAGTCTATTTTCGACTTGTGAGTTTGAATGTCCTTTTGGTTTCTTTCGCATAGCCAAAAAGAAAAAGAAAGTAGATACAAAGGGGGCATTTGCAGAATCATTAGCTCAATAAAAACAGACTGAGTAGATTTGTAAAACTTGGTCAAATTAGGATCGTATCAATACTTGTTCTTACAGTATAGATATCTTCATACGCGTCATAAAACGTGTTTAGATGGTTCATATTACTCTCAACGTTTTATCTTAGTTATTACTTAAATCTGCGGTATATAAGTATCTTCGTGACCTTTTGGATTGACTTGGGTATATGCATATGGTTACCCTGAATTTCACGCAGCAATGCAAACCTTTGCTGTGGTGGGGCATCCGTTTGATGTATAAATACGTAGACAAGTGCGTTCATATCTAAGCGGTGTTAACAGATGACGTATAGTGAATGGTGAGTCACAATATCGGCACTTGCAGAAACTATGTTACCATCGTTAGGGGTGGTATGTTGCGAAGCAAACGTTTTGCCCCTATCCAACATACCCTCAGTTGTTGACGTAACAAAATAAATAAATATCCATTTGTTATTCTAATAGTATACCGTGGCTATTATTAAAAGATTCGTATGACAATCTATGAAACGGGTACAGAATTAGATACTTTCAAGTTCAGATATATTTGTTGTATCTAAAGAACAATACAGTGAACTAGCGAGTCTTCCATTGACTCCTAAATATGTGCTCATGGCTATGAAATCAGGCTTGTAGTTCAGGAGTACCAGAAAGTGACGATTTAGGCGAAATGATTCCTCTCATATAGAACAGAATGTCTTTTTTTATATAAAGTAGATTAGCATTCAATTTTGGTTTGTCAACTGACAAAAAACCAATAAAAGAACAAATATACCTTTTCAGTAAACTATCAACCAGAGACCGAATGACATAAAAGTTAACAACTGTAAGTCACCGGACGGTCTTCAACAATGAGTAAAACCAATATCGCGTATTAAGCAATAAAAAGACCTGAAATATCAAATGTAAAACAATACAAATGAGAAAACTGTTGGTCTGATTTATGCACAAAACAATGAACGAAAAAACAAATATGACATACAGAACTAAACGACAAACAGTGAATTACAGGCTCCTGATTTCTGACAGGCACATACAGATGTGGCGGGGTTAAAAATCTTTTCTGGCGCGCAACCCCCCCCCCCCTCACCTGGGACAGTGGTGTAACAGTACAACACATGCGATTACTTATATCAATTTAGAGATAAATATTGTAAATATGAAGTCTACAAATAGTTTGAACAGCAATGTTAAATTGAACATCTTATGAAAATGGACTCGAATTTCAAAACCAGATAGAATACTGTTTTGAAGGTTTTGTCCATTTTGTTGGATCTAGTGTTTCCATACTGATGAACTTTGTTTAGTCGAATGGTTGGTCTTTTAAAGAACGCTGGTGTCTGTTATTTTGATAAGCGTTTGAAATCATGATCATGATCATGATCATTTATTCCAGCAACAGCTGTATATTGAGTAAAAACTTTATATTTATATATCTCCTAGCTTGCATTTCCTTGATAGAGGGTTACTGCATTATATGTTTTTTATCTATACTTTAACATGTTTTACAGTTTTAAAGATAAAAGGCAAACAATGCAAAATATTGGTAAAAATCTTCATTTAAAAGGTAGAATTCGTCAGTTAAGTGCAATAACTTCGTCATTTGAGGGCAATTACTCCTATAGGTCGTCTTACAGTTTTGGCGTTAATGAACAATAAGTAGAGCTCAACATTCTGAACATTTTTGCTCTCGTCAGAATTTCTCCATTTATATCGGTTTTCAAAATAATACGCAACATTGTATTTTACCCCTGTATTCTATTTTTAGCCGTCGGCCACCTTGGTTGTCAAGCGGGGTCGTCGGACAAATTTTTAGACTAAATACCCCAATAATGATTGTGGCCAAGTTTGGTTACATTTGCACCAGTGGTTTAAGAGGGGAAGATTTTTGTAACAGTTAACGGACGACAAGTAATGAGAAAAGCTTACTTGGCCTTTTTGTCAGGTGCACCTGAAATAAACTTGCATTAAAATTCGTATTTAAAGGGCACCAACTCCTATAGGAAGTCTTCTTACAGTTTTGATGTGAACGGTCAATAGGTGGATCTTATCATTCGGAACATTTCTGCCGCTGTCAGATTTTCTCTGTAAATAGTGGTTTTCAAGATAATAGACACCATTTGCATTTTCCCCCTATCTTTTGTTTTAGTCATGTTTCTAGGAACTTCAAGGTAGGGTCATCGGACACATTATTTAAACTAGATAACTGATCATAATTCAGGTCAGGTTTGGTTGAATCTAGCACAATAGTTTCAGAGGAGATCTTTGTACAAGTGAAAGACGACAGACCACGGACGCCAAGTGATGACAAAAGCTTTTGGCCCTTTTATCTCATTTAAGGAAATTCAGTGTTTGTTTCTCCATCTCTATATTGTCATGAAGACGCCACTCTTAAGTGGTGAAAAATGTCAACTACAATACAATGTCCTAACCATCACCATAATGTTGTTGTCTTCAAATAGTTTGTATTTATAGGATTTTAAGCCAATTGCAGCATACTTCCGTATCAATCCTGATTCCTATACCAGCCTATAACACCAGAAGCTGTTGGTTCAATTGACTTTTTTACTTTTGTAATGAGTTTAAATAAATTACATATGTTTCTAGCAATGTACGTGTATTTGCTTTTAATCTACAATTCAATATTCCCAAGCAAAGTTGACCTTAATTAGATATAAGAAGATGTGGTATGAGTGCCAATGAGACAAATCTCCATCCAAGTCAAAATTTATAAAAGTAAACCATTATAGGTCACAGTACGGTCTTCAACACGGAGCCGTGGCTCACACCGAACAGTAAGCTATAAAGGGCCCCAAAAATTACTAGTGTAAAACCATTCAAACGGGAAAAACCAACGGTCTAATCTATATAAAAAACGAGAAACGAGAAACACTTATGAACCACAACAACAAACGACAACTACTGAACATCAGATTCCTGACTTAGGACAGGTGCAAACAAATGCAGCGGGTTTAAACGTTTTAATGGTACCAAACCTTCGTCCTTTTCCTGAAACAATAGTGTAACATCACAACATAGAAAGACACACTATAAAATATCAACTGAAATAGCTTAACTCAATCAAAGGACATATTAACACCATTGAACATACACTGAACAAATAAATTTGACCTATGATACAATGTAAATACAAAATAAATAAACTAAGGGAAGAATAATAAAAGTAACATGTTATATCGGTAAGAAATGTTAAACAATTAAAGAAAAACAATATGCTCGAACAAAAATATCAGCCATTTGCAATAACTTTAAACACGGGTAAATGAAAATAATTTTGTTGTTAGGTATACGTGTACAGTACCAATAGAGAAAGGAAATATTTTTACAAAATAAATAATTTAGATGTTCATAGTACGAAGTGAAAATTTATAGTAATACCAAACACTTATCAAAGCTGGTATATAGACCAGATATAACCCTGAATAACATTAAATAACAAAAAAGCAATACAATTAGTATCAACAGGTCAAATAAACAAGAAAGTACGATTTGAGAGTACTCGCAGTTACTGACAGCTAGTTAAAAGCCAAAACAATTAATAATAAAAAATCATGCATCAGAGACTAAAATCAACTAAAACACATCCCAGGGATTTAGTATTTTAACGTCATGGACAGTCAAAGAAGACATGACTAGTGCAATGCCAAAAATAAATGTATCGACAGACAGTAGGATAGTTAGTTTAACCTCTTTATAGATCAAAATGAACGTGGGTGTGTCTTTATACATCCCGTTTGAAAAAAATACAAATTTAGTTATGTTTAAATTTGCTGATGACAAAATCGATATTAGTGCCAATGTAAACTATATTCAAAGATCTAATTACACTTAAGACTAGTTCAGCTATAGATATTAAGCCAATTTGATGTGTTTGAGCTCTTGATTTTTCATTTTGAGTTTTCCTTGGAGTTCGGTATTTTTGTTATTTTACATTTTAGTCATATAGCTCCTAATCTTTCTACATATTCTTACATCTGCTGCTTTCAGATATTTGGTAGAGCATTTCTGATGAAGGTAAATGCAGGAAAGTGCCTCAAACCTTCAAAACGTACAGCATTATTTTCATTCACAAGTAAATTATGTTTGAAAATTTCCATCAGTTTACCGTTGTGTAGTTCACAGATATAGAGTCAGAAGAGGAAGCAAAACTCATCACTGGGCTTAACAGTTACGCCAAAAAAATAAATATATATATACATTTCCTGCATTCTGACAGACAATAATAGGTTACTTAGGTTGGTAACATATTTTCTTTAATTATTTTACAAAAAATGGAGAATGTGTCCCCATGGACACAGATATGGGGACACAGATGATGCCCCCCCCCCCCCCCCCCCCTTTGCATACAACATTATAAAGGGACATAACTCAGGAACAATAAATGTGACGCTACCCAAATTTGTACTTGATCTGAGTTTTGTGGTAATAAGTATTGTGTAAAGATTTCATAATGTTTGGTTGGGGCAAACTTAGGTTACAGAACGGAAACTAAAATTTTGCAAATGGTTAAGGTGACCCCACCAAAATTCAAACTTGATCTTTATTTTGTGGTAATAAGCATTGTGTATAAGTTTCATAATATTTGGTTGAAGCAAACTTAAGTTAGAGAGCGGAAACTAAAAAATTTTGCAATTTTTCCATTTATAAAGGGGCATAACTCTAGAACAGATTAAGTGACGCCACCAAAATTCAAACTTGATCTGCATTTTGTGGTAATAAGCATTGTGTATAAGTTCCATAATATTTGGTTGAGACAAACTTGTTAAAGAAAGAAAACTAAAAATTTTGCAATTTTTCCATTTATAAAGGGACATAACTCTAGAACGGTTAAAGTGACGGCACTAAAATTCAAACTTGATCTGTGTTTTGTAGTAATAAGCATTGTGTATACGTTTCATAGTATTTGGTTGGAGCAAACTCAAGTTAGAGAACGGAAACCAATTTTGGAACGTATGGACGTACGTACAGACAGACAGACAAGGGTAAAACTTAATGCCCCCTCCGCTACGGCGGGGGCATAAAAACTGACAGTATAAACATGATAAAGGGAAATGTTCTGGATTTTAACATTGCTCAACCAAAAAATGTCTATAAATGTAATAGGGTTAGCATAAAAAATAAGGCAGGATTCATAGCATCAACATATAAGGTAGGTAGGGAGGAAGGAATCATAGCATCAAACTATTGGGTAGGTAGGGAGGCAGGATTCATAGTATCAAAATATAAGGTAGGTTGGGAGTCAGGAATTATAGTATCAAAAAAAAGGGTAGGTAGGGAGCCAGGAATCATAGCATCAAAATATAAGGTAGGTAGGGAGGTAGGAATCATAACACCAAAATATAAGGTAGGGAGGGAGGCAGGAATCATAGCATCAAAATATAAGGTAGGTAGGGAGGTAGGAATCATAACATCAAAATCTAAGGTAGGTAAGGAGGCAGGAATCAGTACTTAATAATTTTGGGCCTAATATAAATATTACTCTTACCTGACATTAGAAGAAGGAAATCAAGAGGCAATAGTTGTAAGCCATACAAATGTTGCATTATTATCTATATACATGCATTTGTAATGTACAAAAAAACTGCTTGCAGGATAAAAAGACCTTTCTTCTGATTAAAGGAACAGGATAGAGGTTTTTGTATAGTAATATGTACATTATATATTGACGTAATATCAATGTCAAACATCTGCTACACCTTGATCACTTACATGCAGTACAAAACTAGGACAAACAAAATAGATTTATTAAAATACTGACAGCAAATCTTCCTAATAAATGTAATTTATCAAATGAGACTTTCACAGTGTGGCTAAGTAGTCAACATTGGTCTCATTCAAACACTTAATTTCTGTTATGGTCCCAACTGTTTTTTCACTAAATCTTTTGTTGATACCAAAGCTTTTTTGCTATATTCTGGAGTTTCTGCAAGAGTACTGAATGTAAGCTGTACACCTGTGAAAAAAATGGAACAAAATAAGTACACATGTACTAGATCATTAAATCATGAACAACTGAATACTTTTTTCTTATTATTTTGTGCTGTTCATTAAATCATGTAACTGATATCCATAGGACACTACTTGCATAATCACATTTCCATGTTCTGTGAACCAATTTTCAAGTTCATATGTCCCTAACTACATGGAAAACAACCATAACCACAAACTTTAACCTGTTAACGTACTGGTTTTTCTGTACAACATTTCAATTAAAATACTGATACAAACAAAGAGAGACAACTCATTAACTCCTGCTTTTCCATGTACATCTACAGCTCTGAATAAGCAAATTTAGCATACAGAAACTATTTACAGGAATCTCCCACATATACATATACAAAGTGGTCTACAACTGCTCTGGAAGTTTAAAGAAAGCATTTCCTGCAATATCCCCAACAACTATAGCAGGTCAAAATTTAACATTATCAAACCAACAATTATTTAAAATACTTTCACATTTGTTTCACAATATTAAACACAACTGATATATTGCAACTATATCTAGAAGATTTAAGCATCAGATATAACATTTAAAATAAGGATTAATATGATTTTAAAATTTGTTTATATAATATTTTGTACATAAACAACAATGCATCATAAGCCTCTAAAGGCTGTTTGGTATTAATATAGATTACATGGTTATTGACTATATCATGCTATATACATATGTTTTAAATTGTAATATATTGTGTTTCATGTACCATTCTCAATTTTACATGTACCAAGCTGTACTTAAAAATAAAAATATCTATCTATCTATCATTTCTTTGTTCAGTGAAATTTAAAATTAAGGGATCAAAAATGTAATAGTACAAATATTTTTAAAAGTTCATATCATAATCATGATAGTGAACATCTACATGTCAAATAAGTTTCAAGATAATGTTACCACAATTTCTTAATAAACTACCTTACCCAAAAAATTTAACTTGAAATATGAGATCACGTGGACACTGGAGATCGGGAAGACAAGATTATGTCCACTTACTATTATAGCCAGGGCATTGGCAACTCCCTGAGGCAAAGTTGGCTTTTAAACACTTCAACTGTTCTGGTCTTAATGAAAAATTTAAACATCTATATGCCTGTCAGATAAAATTTTGGCTTTCAAAACTGTTTGGGCTTGGTACATAAACACCTGGTTAATATCTCAGATGTTGCCAAATGTTCTAATGAAAATAGTTTAACAAATTTGTCATATGTTCAAGAGGCTCCCAAATGCTTGAATCGCTCACCTGGTAAAAATATGCAATTTTGATTTTACTATTATTACAATCAGTTATGTTTGCTTATTTGTAATTCATCTCATCTGTGGTCTCATTTTAGTGTGTTTTCCTAGAGTACAGAAAGTCGTGGGTTCCAACCCCAGCTGGGTCAAACCAAAGACTTAAAAATTGGTATTTTCTGCTTCACTACTGAACACATGGCATTTAATAGTAAAAGTAAACTATGATGACCTATATATGTAATCTTCTATGTCATTTGGTCTCTGATGGAGAATTGTCTCTTTGGCAATTATACCACATCTTTTTATCTTTATAAAGACTGGTCGGCTCAGAGTCAGAATAATGTGTCAGGGTAGGCTGACACATCTTCCTTCAGACTGTTACCTTGTGAACTAGCACTTTAAAACTCTGACATAACCAATTAAGTTTTCGTTCTGAATATGCATTTAATTTGCCACTGTATTTTAAACAGCCATCCATCCATCCTTATTTGTAATTCTTTTTTAGTGGCATTTTTGATGATCATTATCATGAAATTAGTGGGGGTAATTAAAAAAATAATACTTAAAGAAGTGATTTTTAGAAGAAAATAGAGGTATGATACTTAAACAAGTGATTTTCATGTCATTATCCCAGATTCAGTACAAGGTCATCACCTGACATGACCAGTCATCCTATAAACACAGATGTTGGTTCTGATAATTTTAGCAACATTATTAGTCCCTGGATCATTAGTATTATATATTTAAAGTAACAATAAAATTAAATCACTTAGTCTAGTGATTTATTTGTACTACTTAAATAGATGATTATTAAAGAAAGATTGATCTGATCTCTGAATGGCCACCCCACAGGGACTGGCTTGTGGCAAGGTCCATTATACCTTAATCTTAACTGACTATGACAGTCCTGCGGAAAGTCATTGGTTCTCTCTGGGGACCCTGGCTTCAATTTTCCTCAACCAAATAAAACTGGCTGCCATGATATAGCCAAGAGTGCTGAAAATGCCAATAATCAATCAATCAATTACATGGCCTGGCCATTATATAGTTTTGAGACTCCTAGGCCAACTACTTAAAAGTTACAAATTGCTATTTGATGTTATACCTGAATTCCAAGACTTTGGTAAATCTTCGTTTATCCCTTTCTTGACAGTTGTCACAATCTGTTAAACAAATGAAATCATGTATAAAAATACCATTGTTATGCACCAAATTCCCATTACAACAGGACAACGTCTTATCAGTGATACTGAAGAATTAATAAATTATATCTACATTTGACTAACTGAAACAAGAATATGTTTTATTTGGACAGAATGATGCCCTGTTCTCAAGTTTTTCTATCTCCATGTTTATTGAAGCATGAAATAATGGTCAAAATTGTAATTTCGGTAATATAAAAAGTTCATCTCACAATCAATCTGAGAGACAAAAATAACACATGATTAAGGACAAACATATGGATGGACAGACCAGAAAACAATTTTATTTATTAACATGATCATGATGATGAAAGTCCCACCACTGTCATAGCCAGGGCATAATGATATCTCATCAAAAAAATTATTACGACTGGATAATGTACTGGATATAAACCTAAAAGAGGTTATTGATGGAATAAACTTAAAAGGGAGTTTTGTTGGAATTGAACCTAAATTGTGGTATTGCTATAAGTTATAACTGAAGATATTTGCCAGTGTTATTTGTCTGGTTTATCCCATAGCCCAGGGTAGCATTTATAAACTGTCAAGTTCATAAAATGCTACCCCAGGGCACAGCCTGATACGACTGCAGAGGTCGAACCCTGAACCATTGGAGCAAGTATGGACACTACATTCAAGCTTGATACAGTTCTGAATTTGGATTGTGACAAATATTTGACATAGCATCAGTTTCTGACACTGAATGAATGTGGTCTAAGAACTTTACCTATTAATATGGTCCAATATCCAAAATCTGAATACATAAAATACATGCTTAGATTCAGCATACAAAAAACCCCCAAGAATTTAATAGATCACTTTTGAGTAATGTCTTTCATCGGAAAAGTTCATCAATTATTCACGCCTTTATGACGTCATTTACCAGATAGAGGAGCCAGCCAGTACCTCTGCACTATTAAAGTGTATCAAACGTCTTCCTGATCATCATTATGCAGGATAAACTAGAAATAATGTTTGGTCCGTAGGTACTTAATCATAATTTCATAATGACAGCAGTGCTGATTATCAATTATAAGAATTTAATTTGCAGTAGAATTTGTAAAGTATAGCATCATATTTTTTCAACCGTTCGTTCAACATGGGTAGGAAGTGACGATGCCCCTAAATACACAAATGATGTTCACTACAACCAAAGTTTTTGACGGAAATGCAACGAACTCGAAAGTGGTCTATTTTGATGAAATTAAACGAAGTTTAATTTTGTACCCTTGGGACCTCAATGTTCAGTCAGGGGTGCTACTTAAACAAGTGATTTCATCATCACTTATTTCAGTGATTTGATAAATTCAGTTATCACCTATTTAAGTGATTTTAGTGTTTTCTTTGATCTTCAAATGCTAATTTCATTGATTTTCCATATTTTCACAATCTTTTCTATAATTTTCCTACATAAATCAATTATCCCTTTTTCTTTGTATATTAATTTCACCAGTGGGCTTGGGCAGTAAGTTAGTGCGCTAAAGCTTTTAAAAGTACCCTTGGGAATTTTTCTGTAATCAAAAATTCATTAACTACTCTTACTATCAGACAAAGATCAACAATATTAGGTAACCTGATTGGTTTTCTTTAGAGTTAGAATGATCTACTTCAAGGTTATGACCTGATCTACAAACTATTCCAGTTTTTGCATATTTTAAAAAAAACTGTAAAAGTGTCAGGCTTATCAAGCAAAAGACAATTTCTGCATATACATAGTTGTTTTTTCAATGGAATTGTTGTCTTTTTACCAATAAAAAAATCAAGCTTGTGGGAAAAATATCAAGAAAAATGATATAAACACTTATTAAAGTGATTACATTTTAACTTCTAAAATTACTTGTTTCAGTGATTTTAAAAAGTCTGGGTGAAAATTTTTAATATTTCACAGCCAAAATCACTCGAGGGAGTGATTCTGAAATCACTTGTTTAAGTAGTACCCCTGACTGATGTTGACCAATCTGAATACGGGGCCCAAAAATCATACATCTAAATGCATGGTTAGATGCAGCATACCAAAGAATCCCATATACTCATTTTTTGTTGAAATCAAACAAAGTTTAATTTTGGACTCTGATTTGGACCAACTTGAAAACTGGGCCCAATTCAAAATCTAATTACATGTTTAGATTCAGCATATCAAAGAAACCATTGAAACAATTTTTGTTAAAATCAAACTAAGTTAAACATTGGACCCTTTGGACCTTAATGTGGACCAATTTGAAAACTGGACCCAAAATACCAAAACACGGTTAGATTCAGCATATCAAACAACCCTAAAAATTCAAGACTTTGAATGAAACCCTTTTGAAATTGGTCAACAAATAAGCAATTTATACAAAGTATTAGAAAAGTTCTGTTTTTGGCCCCTTTTTCCTAAACGGATAACATGGTTAAGGCCATAACCCCCCAAATCAATCCAAACCTTCCTTTTATGGTATATGAAACCTTGTGGTACAATTTCATGGAGAACCATTTATAGCAAAAAAATTATCTGCTATGGTAGGTCTTTTGGCAATTGAATCCATTTACCTGTTTGCTGTATTCATTTGTTGCAGATAAAACATTATTTCTGACTTTTTCTGCAGCCTTGCTGGCCTGTTGAGAATTTTTCCATACTCCCTGGTCCACTGTAACATAGACAGCAGCCCCACCAATGGCAAGCTTTGTTACTGCTCTGTAAAAAAAAATAATTATTTTATAAAAAAAAATATATTCAATTTACATGTTCTAATGTTCTTTGCATCAATCAACCCGATCAAAACAATGGTGCCCAGGACAAAAAAAAATATATATGTGTCTGTTTAAAAATTAGAGTAGAGGGATGGGGAAGGGGGAGATCTCACAAAAACATGTTTTTAACCAAGCTACATTTTTGCGTGTGTCCAAAGTAAGGAACCTCTGGCCTTTGTTAGTCTTTTATGTTCTTTTAATTTTGGTTCATTTGTATGTTTTGGAGTTTAGTGTGATGTCCATTTTCACTGAACTAGTATACATTATTATTTAGGGGCCAGCTGAGGCCAACCTCTGGGAGCAGGATTTTTCATTGCTGTGTTGAAGACCCATAGGTGGCCTTTGGCTGTTTTCTGCTCTTTGGTCGGGTTGTTGTCTCTTTGAAACATTCCCTGTTTCCATTCTCAATTTTATTAGGTATGTAGGTACATTGTGTAGTTCCATTTCTTTCTAATATGTGTCTATATTAACTTTTTACTGATATATATTTTGGAACCATGTGGTTATATATTTTTTAAACTTTGAGGCAACAGTGGTTGGTGCTTCAGCCTACTGAGCAATGCATGGTTTTATTGCAAGCTGTCATTTGAATCCAGATCATATGAACAATTCCATAATATATATGAATAAATATCAATACATCTGACTTAAACTTATTTCAGGCTGAAATAAAAGAAGGATGTGTCTATGAGGACAAGAATGCCCCCGCTCAATCTTCAAACAACCAAAAACAGAATGGACAGATGGACGGAAAGAAGGAAAGACAGAGGGTCAAAAGTAACACTTAATGCCCCTGTCGCCTACAGCGAGGGCATAAAAATATCTATGTAAAGTCTGTGACTATTTCAAAATTGAGTTGATACAATGTATAAGAACCCTACAAAACAGATCGAAACTCATCTTTTTAATTCTTATTTGAATGTTCCAAAATCAATCAAAATCTTATACATGTATGTATACATGCACTTGCATAATCTATATTTTTATGAAGAAAATAGCAGCATGCTGTATTTACACAATGTGTCCATTATTCATGTTATTGCATGAAATGCAAGGTGACAGTAACTTGTCCTCCACCAGTATAGTCGGCTATAAAAGGCCCATGTATAGTCAGGGGTACTTCTTATACAAGTGATTTAAAAAAAAAAAAAAACTTTATAAGTGATTTTTGAATTGAAAAATTGAAATTTTTTACAAAATCAGACACAGACTTTTAAAATCAATGAAACAAGTAATTTGAGCAGTAAAAATAAAACTTTAGTAAGTTTTTATAAAATGTTCTTGATATTTTTCACACAAGCTTGATTTTTGTATTGGTTAGAAGACATGGAAGACCAGGATTTCATTTGAAAAAAAAACAAACTATATATATACATGTACATGCAGAAATGATCTTTTACTCCATGAGCTTGTCAGTTTTTACAGTTTATTTGAAATATGCATAAACTGGAATAATTTGTAGATCAGGCCATAACCTTGAAGTTGATTATTCTAACAGGTTTGGAAAGATCCTCACAAATGGCCCTTGAAATGGGCTCTGTGTTGAAGGCTGTACTTTGACATATAATTGTTTACTTTTACACATTGTGACTTGGATGGAGAGGTGTCTCATTGGCACTCATACCACATCATCTTATTTCTACTATCTCCTTTTAAGGGTATTTTTCCAAAAATTGGGTATCAATTTACAAAAATCAAATTATTTTTTTTTTTGTACTGTACAGTCAGGGGTACTACTTGTACAAGCTATTTTTATTTACTTGAAGAAGTAAATATTAATATACTTATACAAGTAAATTTGTAAGATACTTATACAAGTGTATTTTATTTACTTGTATAGGTAAATTATTTTAATGGCTTAGTTATGTCCCTTAGACATTCAGATTTTTTTACTTATGCAAGTAAAAAAGTCATACTATCTTCTTTTCTTGAATTTCTCAGGACTTCTTTGGTCTAATAGCATTTTCAATTGTCTGTCCTTTGCAGATGTCTTTTCTATGTTACTTATCATTTAAGTGCAATTTCATGGACAGTGAAAATCTCATTGCGTGAACCCCTGAGGGTTCACGCATATTAATTAGTTAGAAATATAGTCTATGGAGGAATATTCGGAACCTTAATTATTGTTCATTCGGAACATTTATTCTCCTTATCTGTATTAGCTTCCTGCAATTAAGAGCACCTCCATACGGAGCATTTAAGATATCTAAAACTTGGCAATAAAGAACTTTACACAGATAGGTAACTCACTTATATGCTATATGTAATAAAAGATATAGTTGATAAAATCTATGTAGAAAAATAGAAATAGATTCCAATACGTATAACATGTATAATTCTTAAAGAATAATAATGATTCAAAACATGGACACATGTACCTCAGTCTTTCAAAAATTCATTAAATTAATCTAGAAATAATTAATGAGACATTGAGTAATGCCGGTCAACTAGTAGGAGACATTAATTAATGTTCCTTACAACTGATCATCAATAAGTGTAACTCTACCACGAGACGCATTGAGAGATTAAATGATCTAATATAAAATCAATTTCGAAGAGGCATAACTTTTAAGTTCAAGATACAAAAGATTTCATTAATAAAACACACGAGGTAAAAAGGGAATGCATTCTTATTGCCTATGATGAAACGTAAATATACACAAATATGATCATTGATAATTTAAAAGAAACAGTTATCAATGCAGAAGAATTAATTGACACAAAAGAATATCCTTTAAAGATTCTCAATGAAAAAGATTAAACTGCATTTGTTTAATTAATTCTAAAAAACAATAAATTTGAGTTTAATGGAAAGTTATACAAACAAGTTATCTCCATATATAGGTGGTATATTTTCACCATCATGCACATATCTGCATCTGTCTGTTATATTAATAAATATCGTAGATAAGTTCAAATGGAAAGAAAACATCAAATTACACTGTCAATATAGAGATGACGGTGTTATGGTCTTCACAGGCAAGATTTCTTTAACATAGCGAACAAAATTTCCCCTATACTTAAGTTCACATATGAGATAGTTGTTGGGAGACCCATGCTTAAAAAGTTAATTTTATAAAAGAATCATGAATAGGTAATACTCATCTTCCTGTTATTTTATATGTTTTTGGACAATTGCTAATATATCCTCGCAAACCACATACCGGTAGTAATTTATAATAGTTTGTACATGTTGTAATGCCAAACATCGAGGAATATATCAATCCTCAATTTGTTTAATTTCATCATGTTCATTGACCATAAGTTTTAAATAAATAGTGAGTTATCGCCTCAACTCCAAAGAATAACTATCACTCAGAGTCTGTAAATCGTTTCATATCGTTAGAATTATTTTAAGGACTCAAACGTATATTCATTTATGAACCATTTCGATGTGACTTGTAAATTCTGCATTTAACACACGTAAAAGGTGCCTTTGAATTTCATCGTAATTTCCAGAACCTAACTTGTATTTTTATATAAGAATAAGTATGGTTTCTATAAATAAAAAAGGAAGATGTAGTATGTTTGCCAATAAGACAACTCTCTACTAGATACCAAGTGACGTAGAAATGAACAGCTATTTGTCACCGTACGGCCTTCAACTATGAGAAAAGCAAAACCCATACAGCATAGTAAGCTATAAAAGGCCTCAAAATGACAATGTAAAACAACTCATACTTGAAAACTAACTACCTGATTTCATCGCGGTCATTTATTATAATTATTGCTTTTGTTTCCTTATTTATATTTAAGTTTGATAAAAAATTAGAGCCTTAATTACTATCAATAGACAAATGATAGAAATTCATTATCTTATTTCTGACTGTATCTATCATCACTCAGTCTCTATAAAAGACATTCATTATTTTATTTCTGACTCTGTATTAGTATTTCACCACTGCTGCATTGCATATGCATAATCATTTTTTCTGTTATACGACATCAAAAACATCAAGCCCAAACATTTAATTTTTCTTTCAGAATCGTCAACATACCACTAAAATATATTACAAAATATAAATTTTGTTGTAGCATCTTATTTCTGCATTTTACACACCATCCAGATATGAACTATTGAAATAAAAACATTCCTTATCTCCCTACTTTATATTTAACACCACTCTCAACATGCCATAATTGTCCTGATTTACAAATGTACAATAAAAAGAAAATATTATTCTCCCCACACATGGTAATGAAAATACTGAGATATAATTTACAATTCAGTTGAAATAATAATTAGCATAAAAAATGTTCTAAGGTTCACGTATTGACTTTTTTTAAAAAAAAAGCAACTTGTTTGTCGGTTATCTTCAAAAAATTGCTCATTTACAAGCCTCCAAGGGTCAATTTTTGAAGGCCTTTCGCAATTGCTTAAGATCTTTGCGCAATTAGTTTCTTAGTAGAATTAATGAGATGAAACATTGAACTCTAATAAAAAATTATGATTGAACTAACCAGAGAAAAATTGTTTAAGGCATGATTTTACATTCCAAAACTTGAGAATTTTAGGGATTGTAAAAAAAATTACTTATACAAGTAAATTTTTGGAGGAAATTCAGGGGAGATTATTCAAACTTTATAAGAAAATATTAATATAACAAATTTACTTATATAACATGTATACATGGTATAAGTATATATATTATTATTTACTTCTTCAAGAAAATAAAAATAACTTGTACAAGTAGGACCCCAGACTGCCATATATAGTGGGTTATTTTCTGCAATTTTGGCAACTAAACATGTTAAATAAAAATAGGGAAAATAAATTCTGTGGAAATTTAGGCATACGTTCGGTACTTCCAAGTAGGTTAAGCATTTTGTCAACAATCTATATTTTTCCTATGGGCAGGTCTATAACGTTAATTGTTAGTTTCAAAAACATAAATATCAAATGGCATTGTACATACATGTATTTTATAAAATGAGTCTTGAGTT